AATAATTTCCATTGACCTGTTGTGTGTCTTGGTCTCTTTGGATTGAAAGCTTCAAATTGCTGCTGTTGTTCAAGTGAAACCGGAGTTCCACCACTTGGGATGTACAAAGTCGGAGGAATAAACGTAGCGCCACCAGAAACTACCATTCCCGGTGGCTGCTGGTGACTTTGTGGTGGCGGTGTGGTGGTTTCTATTGGTTCTTGATCTGGGTCATTCGGAGAAGTCGATAAATGCTGTTGTTTCTTGGTAGTTTCTCCTTTATTGTCATCCATTTTCCTCTAAAGAGAGACCCAACAAAAACCCTCTAGATAAACCTAAAACTAGAAGCTGAAAGAACAAGAGAGATCACCATTACTGTGGAACAATAACGCCATAAATAATAAGTTGCAATTTTTCTGTGTTTGTTTCTTCTTTAAAGAGTCTCTGCAATTTGGCTAGCTAGGATTCTGAATTCAGAATGCTTTTGGACCTAGTTTTCCACGGGGTCATCAAAAGGGAAAGTTGATGGAAAGAAAAGTGATTGTTAAACATTTATTTGAAGCAGCAGAAAAAAGTCGAAATTGTGGAACCTGCTATGAATAAGACATTTCAATTACAGCTTAGTAACCCTTTTTTTCCCTTATTTCTTTGGTTTGATTACTTGCAAAATTTGTTGTGCATTGTATTAAGAGAGATAGAGACAAGAAAGAAGAAAAGTACAGCGTGGGAAGTTTGATTAGGGTGTAATATAATGATTGTTCTGCAAAACCACTGTCAAAACGCGGCTCCAAAAGATTTAACATTCTTTAGTTTCATAAAAAGTAATTAATGGTTTTGTTTTGTATAAACATTAGACAGCAGAGCTTCCGCTTCTCGCGAGAGAGAGCACACTGTCGAGGGGATGATAGAGACTGCTCGTATTTATGCACCCATAACTTGCTGGCTACGTATATTTTTGTGGGATTTCCCATTTTCTCTGTGTAGTGGGGTGGGGTGTTGGACGTCTTGCAGGCTGAGAATCGTCGCATTTGGCTATTCGGAAGTATATTCTCTTGCAACATTGAACTCCAGAAAATTTTGAAAATTTTTTGGTTTGTGTTTTTATTGATCTTGAAAAAAATTGTGATTATATGAAAATGACAAGTATAGAAGTCGAGATTTTATTATCACTATAGCCATAAAAGTTGTGCCTTAAGTCCCCATACATACCTTCGCAGACTAAACTGCTATATTGTTGGGATTAAGCCTCCGTTTGGCCCTCATTATTTGACATTTTAATTTTTGAAATAATATTTTTTTGGAGAATGAGTGATTGAAAAAGAAAAAAATTCGATTTACGTGTAATATTATTTATTGGTGAAATTATGGTTGAAAAGAAGAGAAACAATAATGTAATAAAATTTAAATACGAGCCAAATAAGGGCTAAATTTTAAGTAAATTTTGATAAAAGTAGAACCATGCTATAATGTTAGAATAATTGACATAATGTTATATGAAACTCTATCATTGACGAGTTAAAATACAATCATCTTTTCCATCAAATCACCTCTCGCCATAGAGGATTCTGATTGTTTTAGGCATTATTCTTCTAACAAAGTGGTTTAACCCATATAGATATAACAAAATGTGTGATTAGAAAATTGTGAATCTCATAAAATATGTGATCATAATTAATTGTCAGCGTTGATTTAAATTAAAATTTAGATTTTATTCCTTACCAATTAGGGGCAAAATCTTTTATAGCATAACGAATTTGCAAGTTAAGGTTGTATCCTTTGAAGTTCCAGCTCTACATAAGCAAATAAATAAGAGGTTAGCTTGGTCAACCAAGTCGATGGGAGTTAGGATAAAAATAAAGAGATTTCAATTTCTAGTGCACATGAGAGACATGTTGGACGTACTTTTATAGCGTTATTGAAGTTGGTTGACCATGGATTTGATCCTAAAGAGAAAATGCACTAAATTTTGGTTCAATAGTTTCTAACAATAAGGGATTGGGGGCACCACGTGAGCCTGTTTGGGAGTGATTTTGAGAATTGACTTTTTGATCGTTAGGAGAAAAGTGACGTCCAACTGTGAGATAAGAAGTCAAATATGATGGCTGAAATAGTAAAATAACGGTAAAAAAATCAATTTCTTGGATCAAAAAAGGGGCCCAAACAGGCCCCATTTCTAAGTGAACGCAAGGGATATATCATATATGCTGGGATGCTTTTGAATGAGTTCATGAAGATTGTGATGAAGCTATGTATTTTTTCAAACTTAGACTACTATAATAAGTGCTTATAAGCCTAGGTTCTAAAGAATATGAGGTTAATAGTGTGTAAACGTTATGGATCATATATAATGTATGGATAAAAATAGTGTTTGATTAACTTATAAATACTGACAAGCATCCAAACGTACACTAAATTTATAAAATCTCCTTCAAGTAATGAATTTGAAAGTCATCATGTGAGAGGGAAATATCATATGCTGATAAGAATTATGACCAAAATGAATGAAGTGTAATTTTTTTTTTTTTCAATAATTCTGCAAGTACAGGAATTTTACACAGAAGTTGTACAAGATTTTGAAAAGTATGACCTGTCAATTCTTTAACCAAGGCATATAAAAAACAAAATGAATTAGGATTATGTCATATCATTTGTTTTGAATTCCCGTACAGCTCCTATGAAGAATTTCCTGTACGTACAGTAGGATTCTATTTTTTTACACCTTTAATTATCGGTCAGGTCGAGTCATCTGCAAATGCATCTATAAGCCTACTCCTTGTAATTCTTACATCTAATTGTCGATAATCACTCCCCACCTCCCTCTCCCTCCTTGCAATGGTTGGATTGACACCGATTCACTGTACTAGGTAGGTTCCAAGTTCTCAAACAGGGACTGTGATCAAGGGAAAACTCCATGAGTCCTCTCGAATGGGTTTCTAGACATGAAAATGATTATATTGGTGGATTTGACCTCTGGTTTCGACGAAGGTGGAAGTGGAATTGAAGGGTGTCTTTAGTTTCCGTTTATCCGTCGATTGTAAATAGAGAGAGACATAGCTTCTTCTTTCTTTTTCTTTCTTTCTTTTTTTTTTTTTCCATTTTTTCTCTATTTATTAGGATTTAACAACACAACTGACGGATCTTGACAGCATGAGGGTATTTCGAACAAAATGTTTAAAAAAGAGACCTTTTTGTAATTTCCAATAAGAAGGGAATAAATTGCACATGGACAAGTTTGTAGAGGGTTTTCTGTTATTAAACCCTGCACATAGGGCTGGACAAATCTTTCGAATCGAACCAAACTGAATCAAACTCGACGGTTTTTGTCAAATTAAATACTTAAATGGATATCTGAATTTAGAACCGACGGGTACGGTTCGATTCTCGGTTCTAGACCAAGAACCAAAGAACCGAATCTTTCTAATTTTTTTTTATATTGAATAAATTAAATATTTTAATTTTAATTTTTTTTTTAAACAAATTAACAAATTAACAATTTTTAAATCCAAATTTTTGGCCCAATAATTTGTTTCATTTCTAATTTTTGGCCCAATTACCCATTTTATTGTCTCATTTTTTAGTCGAACAAAATCCAACCCACTAAATGACCATAAACACATAAATTAAAGTGCATAACGCTATCTAGACTCTTGCAGCCTCGCTGACATTCCAAAACCTATACAATCGTCAACCGACTCTGTGACCTTCGATCGAAACTGTGACCTCCGCCAATCGAAATTTTGACCGTAGCGATCATTTGAACAAGGTAGTTTACTAGTCTCTGACATTTCAAAATCAATGAATGTGTCATTAGTTGTATTTATATAATATTGTTATAAATGTTAAAAAATTTAATTATAGTACAGAACGAAACCGAACCCGAACGGTTCCATAATTATATTTGGACCCGACGATTCCATTTGCTAGATACCTGAAAATTTTGGTTCGATTCGGTTCGATTCTCTTTAGAATCGAATTAAACCGACCCGCGCCCACTCCTATGTGCACAAGTGTGTGAGAAATAGGGTGTGATGGATTTTTCCCCTACCTATACCAAGGGGACATCTGTCCTCTGGTGGCCCTTACACCTAGAACTATCCCTTTTTAATTCGCGTGAGACAGACAATAAGCTTAACAACTAATTTGATTTAATTTTTAGTTTTTTTTCCATATATATATATATATTACATGGAAGTTAAAAAAAGAAAAAAAAAATTCTGATTATGAGCATAGGTTTTCTTTCGAAATACAAGTAAATTACTTCTAAGCAATTCCGATAAACCAAAAAAAGTATTTATAAGTATTCATGTTGGAATATTTTCTCAACTAATAAAGCTATCTAATGTTAAAACGATACAAGTGACAGACCCAATTAAATATGAGAATATAAAGATTAATTTAATTATGCAATCATTTAGAGTCACTAAATGACATCTTAAACCGATGTTTTACTCTTAAATAATATTATTCTTTTCTCAACTTTCGTTTTCTCTTACCATCTTTAGTAAAAAAAATTAAAAATTAAAAAAGTCAATACTTTTAAAAATAATATTTAATCGACTTGATTAGAAAAATTAAGACTCGATCTAGTAATACTTAAAAGTTTAAAAGTTCAACCTCGACCCGACCTTAAAAGTTCACCTCAAACTTCTATTTTTTTTAAAACTAGTTTAACCCGGCCCAACTCAATTCGATCTCACCCTTGACCCTTTATATTTATCGACTCGATGTGTGAGGGGATTCACATTATGAGGGCTTAAATGCAAGTCGACTCACCCCACGAAAAGTAACACACTATGACAATACCCCTATTACCCCTAATCAACGCACCGAACAAGGGACAAAAGACAACCTCAAAATCTCCAAACTATCCTCCTCAAATATTCCACCAAACCTTAACTTCAGGGAACATTAAGTAATTTCAAATTACAGTGTCGGTTGCGGGCCGAGATTCGAAAAGCCCGTTTAAAGAAAAGTCATTTCCAGGGTGCCTTTATATTAATGCGCATCCCTCCCTTTCCCCAACACCATTGGCGGGTACCTTACAAACTGACGAAAAACTAGAGAGAGAGAGTGTGCTGTATGTATATGTATGTATAGAGTGTGAGTGTGAGTGTGTCCGTGTGATTGTGTCGTATATGTGTGTGTGTGTGTGTGTATATAGAGAGAGTTGTATGTATAGTTCAAAAAGTAAAGTGCTTAAACCAGGCCGTACGAACACTATACATATACACACACACGCTCTCTCTCTCTCTCACTCTCACTCAATCGCACTGTACAAAAGTACTCATCAATAGCACTGTAGAAAAATCTCTCTCGGACACCCCAAAAAGTCCTTCGGCCCTCGTACGTAGTAGTTAAATATATATTACAAGATCATCGGATTTTTCGTGGCATTTAAGGAAAAAGGAGTTTTTATTATATGAGTATTGATTATTGTACCCTTTTAGCGTTTGATTCAGTCAAGTGATTGAGAATTAAGTGAAAGCAGGAATGGAGTTGTACGGAAGGCGAAGCGGGACAGAATCGGATCAGCAGCAGGTGGAATGGGCTCCGGCAGGCCAAGAACCCGGTTTAGTAGGTGGAAATTTTGAGCTTATTTCGATTTTATTGTTGGTTTTTTACTTGCATTGTGAAATGTTAGGGTTTCAGTAATGAGAATGATTGGTTTTTAAAAAATGGGTTTTTGGTTTATTGTTTAGAATCGATGCGAGGGTTGAATTTGAGGGATGGTGAGTACCCGGAGAGGCCAGGTGCGGCAGATTGCCCGTACTATATGAGAACCGGGACCTGTGGATACGGCTCCAAGTGCCGGTATAATCATCCCCATGATCGTGGAATCTCGGTATGCCCTTGATCACGTTCCATATGTACTACGCCGGAGTTCTTTTTAGCTGTATTTCTCAATGTAAATATGTAGTTTCTGTAGTCATTGTAATCCAATTTGGGGTTTCTGTATTTCACTTTGATAGGGGTATTTCGGTTTTTCTTTATGTCAGTTTGATGAATGGATTTCTTTGTTATGCATTTGCATAATATATATTTGACTTCGGAATGTGGATCGTCGAATTATTTTCTGAGTTCTTTGGTTGGTTGTTCATCAGACTGGGGGTGTTATGAGAGATTATCCTGAGCGGGTAGGGGAGCCTTCATGTCAGGTACCAGGCTTCACCTTTTACAGTGATTGGTTGTATTTTCACAATTCTTGTTGTATTGACAATCTCAGAATCATTATTACTTGTATTATGCAATGCTCAATCTTTTTATCCAATGAGTGAACTGTATTGGTTTATGTGCAGTATTATTTAAGGACAGGGACCTGTAAATTTGGTCCATCTTGCAAGTTCAATCACCCAAAAAATGCTGGTGGATCCTTGACCAATGTGCCTCTAAATATTTATGGATATCCATTACGACCGGTAATTATTTTGTCAAGGCTTAATATATGCACATAGATTCAAGTTATAAGAAATTTTAATAGTCATGTTATCATCCTCTACAACAGGGTCAGCAAGAATGCTCCTACTATTTGCAAAAGGGGCAATGCAAATTTGGTAGAACATGTAAATTTGATCATCCCGAACCAGCTGGTTTATCAATGCCAGATCCAGCACGTACATTTTATCCAACAGGGCAGTCTCTTTCTGCTCCTTCTGAGCAATATGACAGCACATCGACCACCTATAGGGTTGCAAGGCCTCTATTGCATGGTTCATATGTGCCCGGTGCTTATGCTCCAATGTTGCTTCACCCAGGAGTGGTTCCCATGACAAATTGGAATACATTCTCGGTATAGTTCTTGTAGTGTTTTTAGTTGATTAATTGTCTTCATACCCACATGTGTTGCCTTCATATAGCGTTGTTGGTTTACCTATGCAGGGACCAGTTAGCCCTGCACCATCACCTGGTGTTCAACCCTCGGTTGGATATAGAATGTCACAGCTATCTTCTTCTGCACCGGCCTTTACAGGAGCTTATACCCAGTTACCCTCTTCTGCCTCACCTTTGAGTGCTGGCGTAACATTGGAGCAACAGTTACCAGAAAGGCCTGGCGAGCCTGACTGCAAATACTACATGAGAACTGGGGGTTGTAAATATGGATCATCTTGTAGGTATAACCATCCACCAAACTGCGTTGTTTCAAACACAAATTGTGTACTTAGCCCCTTGGGGTTACCTCTGCGTCCGGTATGTATGGTATTTTCTTCTCGCAAACTCCTTGTTTTACAGAATAGTTAAATTATTTATTGGCTCTTTGTTTCTTTCTTATTTTTCCTTGGTGAGTGGGTAAGTGTGCATTGTTTTGGTTGGGAAATTCCAATTCAGATGTGCTTGTGTTTGATTTCTTATGTCCTTCTCATGGTGACTAGTATTATGAGTACATGGTTATTTGAATTGGCTTTTATATTTTCACTTTTAAGTGCAAACTACATTTTGCTATTCAGTAGATGATGATGGGTTTTACATGTGCTTTTCTATTATAATTTTTCATTATATTGAACTTGTAGAAAGTTAGAATTTGTGGGCAATGGGGATTATTAGATCCAAACATTCTACTTTTTAAGCACGGAAAATATCTTTATGGTTGTTTCAACAAATCATAAGCTACAAGTTTCCTGAATTTTCTTTGATTTTATTTCTTGTCTCAAAGAAAATTCTAGATGGGGAAGCAGATCATTACTTCATTTCTACATGTTCTGGAGATTCCAAACCGCTGTTAATTCTTCTCCTATTTTACTCTCTTCAGTTTTCTAACTTTCTCTTCCCTTTTCTTTTTAATTCTCTCGAGTACTTAGCATCAATGATCTTTGTTTTATTTACCCCCCCCCCCCTCTCATTTTAATTCTCTTGAGTACTTGCCATTTTGTAACTTATGGTTGGCCGTTATAACAACTTCGGTACGTGATGGCTGGCCTTTGATATGTATGTTCGCTATGAAACAAATTGGCATCCCTGTGAGATTTAAAAAAAAAAAAAAAAAAAAAAAAAAAAAAAAAAAAAAAAAAAAAAAAAAAAAAAAAAAAAAAAAAATTTCAATCAT